ACAGGCCTTATACAGGTGAAATCTCCTGACAATGAGGAGATTTAAAACGAGAAAAGACAACTTTTCTTTCACAGCTCTTCAATGTTTGTTAATATACAATTAATTCTAAATGATTGTTGTTGTTAAGTGCCATTGAGTTGAGTTGGTTCTGACTTATAGCAACCTTGTACAGGGTTTCTGAGGAGTGGCTGGTAAGCTTGAACCACTGGCCTTGTGGTTCAAATTGACCTTGCAGTCCAGCACATTAACCTGATGTGTGGCTCAAAAAAGAAAGAAAAAAAGGACACGTATGTTAATAATGTTAAATCATTCACAGCACAGATGACATTGTCAAATGATCTGAGAAAAAATAAGAAAACAAATTGAATTTTAAAAGTATGATTAACTGCTTTGTGGTTCATAAGATCACAAAAGCACTGTCTGATGGTGGTGGTGGTTACATACTGTGGAGTCAGTTCTGACTCATAGCAACCCTGCACAGGATTTCCAAGGCTTTAAATCTTTATGGAGCAGAATGCCTCATCTTTCTCCCACGGAACATCTGGTAGTTTCGAACTGCTGACCTTGAGGTTAGCAGCCCAACTCATAACCACTATGCTACCAGTGCTCCTTACTGTCTGATACAACTAACTACATAATTCTTAAAACCTTGCCTACCTATACTAAAGAATCTAATTACACAGTCTGTGTTCTGACACCAGTTAGCTCTTTAAAATCATCATTGCTTCCTGCTTCTAGGATCCCATTTGCAATAGGATATTTTGGTACATGCAGTTAGTAGGACATGGACATGAGCATCAGCCATTAAAGGAAAAAAAAGGGAGGGAGCACTACCAGTCACCCCACTTTATTGCTCTCTTATACACCCACACCCACATATGTCATGGGCAATAACTATTTAAACCTTGTGGTAAAAAGAAACATGATGACACAGGAGACACTTAGTCTTACTCTGAGTGTGCTGGCTATTCTACTAAATGTAACAAAACAATAAACACTTTTAAGAGAATAATAAGTGAATGCAGTGGATAATATAGATAATTTGGGTATGTGTAGATTAGGGAATATGTACATTCATGAGTTTTAAAATTTATATAAAACTTTTCTGGATTAGATACACACTTTGAGTATAATATACCAGTACTAATAGTTTTCATGGTGCTGTAGGATAAGTACTGAACCACAAGGCTGCCAATTCAAACCCACCAGCTGCTCCTTGTTGTTGTTAAGAGTCGATTCCTACCGATAGGGACTCTGTACAGGCTTTCCGAGGAACTTGAACAACTTGAGCAACAAGCAACTTGGTGAGTTTGAACTGCCAACCTTGCAGTTCAAATGGCTTTGTAGTCTGGTGCATTAACCCATAGCGCCACCCCAGGACCAGATGCTCCTTGGAAACCCTATAAAGGTTCATTATGAGTCAAAACTGATTCAATGGCACTTGACAACAAACAGATAGAAAAAAACAACACATGACATCAGAACACCTCCTTCTGTAAGTAACTAACAGCCAATATAAAGTCATATATGAATCTATACTTTCCCACATAATAAAAAACAAGATAAATTAACTTGTTCAAAATATTTAAAAATATTAATTTAGGAAAGTGGGAAAAAAAAGGTTTTGTTACTTTTCTAAATGTGGTGGTAGTGATAGTTATATGCTGTAGAGTCAGTTCCAAGTCATAGCGACCAAATGTACAGCTCTTTAAAAAATTCAGTTCCAGTGTTGCTAATGTTGCTGTTTTTGTTAAATGCTGTCAAGTCGGTTCCAACTCATAGCGACCTTGTATCTTGTATAGGGTTTGTGAGGCTTTGAATCTTCACAGAAGCAGAAAGCCTAAGTTTTCTCCCTCCGAACTGCTGGTAATCTCGAACCGCAGACCATGTGGTTCACAGTACAGAGCTTATTGTCTAGAGCCACCGCATTCCCCAATTCCATTGTACAAAATGTTAATGATAAAGTAAAAGTATTATTTCCAGTATTAATACACTATAGACCATAGTCTGTATGCAGGGGCTTCAAAAGGCTCATGGAAAAATGGAATTAAAATTAATGGAATTTTTCCATGAACTTTTTGAAGCCCCCTTGCATTTACAATATATGTGCCTTCAAACACCCAGTTTTCATACACTGCTTGGGACATGTTACTAAATAGCACAATTTGATGCAATAACTTAAAAATGGAATTTTTCCTGGGACTGTGTGTTCTACAGCAGATTCTCTTGGACAATCAAATATATATCCTATAAATGTATTTCTGTTACAACTATGGAAAGTAGATCAAGTTTATTTACAATTGTTGTTATTAAGTGCTATCAAGTCGGTTCCAATTCATAGCAAATCTATATAAGATTTCCAAGGAGCAGCTGGTTGGTTTCAACTGTTGACCTTGTTGTTTGCAGTCTAATGCTGATCCTACAGCACTACACAATTAGGTAGACAAAATAGTTTAATGGAGAAAAATATTTAATGAGCTAATAAAAGAGGAAGACGTACGAAACTACAGTCCTGGGAATGAAAGCACTCAAGGGCATGAAGCCTGGCTCATTTCTGGCTCTCCCCGAATAATTTGCATCCTTTCTGTCACCACACTCACCCTTATTTCTCAAGACCTTCTTTCTCTCCACCCATTTTTATTTCTCCCTCTTTCCAAACATCTGATTCACCAAACTCTTCTACGACCTCATCTAATCAACTGCTTTTTGTCTTTGATATTCTCTTATCCAGATTTTCATGATATTTACATCTTAGAATTGGAGCAGTGTGAATGCCTGAAAAAAAATTAAGACAGAGAGTAAAGAATGGGGAGAGGGGAAATGGGAATACTTCAGGTCTTTCCTGCCCAAATCTGAAAAATATTCCTCCTTAGAGAGCAGACTATATCCTTCTAAGCTTCTATGTTGGTTAAGAAACACCATCTGTCAACACTAGGTAGCTCATTACCAAAGGCAAAGAAGCAGTCTCAGGTTTCGTAAGTGGATAGCCAGAGCATGGGCAAATATCTTCCCTCTGACCTGCAACTGAGTGGTCACTTGTTCCAGTGACTAGTCTCTCTTCTCCTCAAGAACAGCCAACAATATTTTACTATTTCATGTGCCTTCCACAGGCTAGCTAAAGGTTTCACATGAGACAACTGCACAAACTCCCGATTTCATTCATGATATTTTTACACAAACTTCAATAGAAATGATCACAGAAAACATACATTCTACCTTTGCCTCAATTTTTGTTTCTGAGACTCAAAAAATGGGAATGTTTGGGGAGCGGAAGGTAATGACAGATAGGACTTCTAACTGGGTGTAGCCATAGTGATAGGAGATTGGAGGACCTTGACAATGCCTGAACTCCAAAGTATGCAAAGTAATGACTTGCCATAGAGCTTGTCTGATTTTCAGCGCTGTACAATTGTGTAATGGGAAACCCTGATGCAATGTTTAAAGGACCAATATGCCAAAGATTAAGTGGAGGGTGTACCTTTCCCAGTTTTTGTAGGTACAGCGTAATGTCAGTTTTGGTTGTAGTTGTTAATTACCATCAAGGTGGTTCCATTCATAGTGACCATATATAAGGGTTTCCAAAGAGTGAGTGGCTGGTGGGTTTGCCAACTTGAGGTTAGCAGTCTAGTGCTTATCCTACAGTGCTAAACCAGAACTCCATAATGTCATTATAACAGTAAAAAGACATGTCCAAAAAAATCAAACCCACTGCCACAGAGTTGATTCCTACTCATAGAGATTCAGACTCATAGCGACTCTATATAGTATTTTCCAGGCTGTAAATCTTAACCGGAGCAGAAAGCTTCATCTTTCTCCAACCAAGTGGCTGGTGGGTTTGAACTGCCACCAGGGAGGGTTGACTTTAAAAAGGCATGTATTAGACTTAAAAACAAAGGTACTATTAAAACTTGCCTTTTAGACATTTTCAATAGCAATGACTACTTAAGTAACTTCTAGTGTCAAAGTTGAGATCTTCTGAAAGATAACACGATTTTAAAGAAGTCAAAACTGCATCAATGTCAAAGAATCATTTTATATAATTTTGGTAAACGTTTTCTTCACAACATATATTCCATATTTTAATCTGTTTTATTTACTGTAACAATAACAAACACAAGGCTATGGGAATATATGCCAGGCCCTCAAAAAGTTTGTGAAAAAATTCCACTATCTTTTCATTTCATTTTTCCACGAAATGTTTGAAGCTCCCTCATATGTAGGCTTCTGTGACGACCTCTAGGCATTGCTATAGAAAATCCCTTCCTAAAGACTTATTTCTAACCAGGTATTTTCGTCTCCCCCTCCCCTTGACTGCACTGCAGTGCTCAAAGGCATTATAGACAATCGCTTCGAACATGTTTGCTGTTGAAAAGCCACAAACGTTAACATTCTTCAATGTTCAAGGAGCCAAATTATGGCTATTTTACTTTTCATCCCAAATTAAATTATAGATGGATCGACTAGATAAAAGAAAATAATAGGATTGTGCCTAAGCAATCGGATAACCAAAGAAGCAAGAAGACAGCTTCCTCTCAGCCATCTTTCCAAAGAGAACATTCCTAAATGTTAAAAACAAAAACTATCCTGTACATAAAACACAATTATCAGATAAAATCAGGAAATGTGAGAGTGTGGGATGAAGCGGTTCCTGCAAGAATCTTTGGGCTGCACAGGCTTTATCTAATCTGTCAACTCCTGCATCCAAGATGTTGATAGAAATGGGGAAAGTGCAGAGGAAAACCTTCTTCTGTGTGTGTTGGGGGGAAAGGGGGAAGGGGGGTGAGAACTGGGCCGGGGATGCTCAACGTTCCGACCCGAGGTCTCTGTGCTCTGGAGCCTCCTCCGATCGATAGCATCCTAAAAACCGCAGAGCAGAGGCCCGGCGCAGGAGGAAGGGGCCCTGCAATGCCGAAACTGGGGCGAGGTGTCTCCCCACAAGGGGAGCCGAGCGAGCCTGCGACCCGCAAGGCTCGAGGAGATGGGGAAGCCAGCGTATTTACCTGCGATGCTCCAGGTCCAGCGGTAAAACTCCACGGTGTCGTTGAGTGCAGTAGACATCACGTTCAAGACACTGCCCGGCTCCGAGTACAGGAGCCCCATGACGGTGGTAGCGGGTGCTGACGGCGGCGAGAGCAGAAAACGGAGACCCGCGGGAGTGCTGGCCTCTGAGGTGACGGCTGGGAGACAAGCGGGAACCTAAGACTACCCTAAGAGCGACAGTTCCGTTGCGTTTTCTCCTTCTCCTCCTCCTCCGGGTGCTGCTGCGGGGGAGATGCTGCGGCGTCGACGAGCCGGGCCAGGCAGAAGATATCGTTAAGGCTCCACAGAGGCGGAGGAGGTACCGCCGTGATCACAAGGTGCTGCACCACTCTGCCACCGCGAGCCGCGGCGTATCCAATCGCCTCCGCCAGCATCACGTGACCGCACGAGGGGGCGGAGGGGCCGGTGCGTCCCTTCCCCCGCCCGCGCGCACGAACGCTGTTGCGCAGGGATGCTGCAGGCGGGTAGCGGTGGGAGCTTGGTCCGCGCAGGCGCCCGCTGTATCTCGGTCTTAACAGCTCAGCCCTCCTCCGCTTATCTGCTGAGGAACACCTGAGTCCTTCAGGCTGCTTCTTTGGGGCAGCTTCCATATCCAACTCCCCTGCCTTCCTGCCAAGCATCTTGCCCTGCGGAGGAGTACTTGGTCTTTCCACCTGTGACCTCGCATCTGCCCGATATGTACAAGGAAACAGAACAGGGAAGAATGGGGTTTGGGTGTCCATACCTGCCACTCACCTCCATTTACCTTGTGTTCTTTGTACCTCCACCCTCAACAATACATGCGTGCATCGTGACTAGGATCTAAACAAGTGAAAGGATGTTTGTCTTCCATACTACAATAATGGAAAAAGACTTTTGTAGTTGTTATTGTTAAGTACCGTCGAGTCAGTTCCGACCCATAGCGACCCAGTATAGAGTTTACGAGGAGCAGCTGGTAAGCTGTAGGATACCCACTGGACTGCTAACTTCAGGGTCAGTTGTTCAAACCCACCAGTCACTCCACAAAAACCCTATCTATACAGGGTTGCTATAATTCTAACCTACTCGATAGCTCCTAACAACAACAATTAACAACTTAACAAAAAACTTGAATGAATGTCTGTGTCGTGTGTTCTGTAGACCATTTTAATATACATGAAATTAAAGCAATATAGTTTTGTTAAATTAGGCGATTAGGGGTTCAAAGTTCATGTGAACATATGGTTCAGGAGACAAAGAGCAATCTAGCAAAAAGAAAACACAAAGTACTTTTGGATTTAAAAAATTATTTAGATAAGAAGGTGAGAGGCAAAAAGGATAGTCTACCCCTGAAAAGCTACACAAATACACTACTTATAATTCATTATTAGATACTTACTGAGGTAAACAAGAGCTTTCCAAAAGTACAGTAACCTTTACACCTACTTATTTTTTAAACATGTTACCTACTTCTTGTTTAATCTTGTCACCTACTTGTTTAACCTTTTCTCCACATGATGGTTTAGGATGCTGCATTTAAAGGCAAATGAGTCAAGTGTGTGATTGACTCTGCCTTTTGACACTATTAAATTAGTGTGAATCCTCCCTTTAATTTTTTTTAATGTATTTTCCAATTGAATGATTATATATTCTTTACATTTAATATTAGAAGCATTCTAGAGGATAAGAATTGTTTTCGGCTCCTTGATGAAGATCCAGTTCTATAAACAGTAATTAATAGATTATAATTTACACTTTTTTCAGAGCATAATAAACACTTATAAATGGCAGGTGCTATATTTTAAGTGTCAGAAAGAGAAGGTAACTAAAAGTAACTGATTTATTGTAGAACTCAAGCCATCACAGTCTTTTACATGCTCTATACACAAAATTAACCAAATAAAATGTCAATTATGCATTGATCAAACAGTTTGGTCCTGTTAAAATTTCCTGGTTTGACATTACTGAATGTCAAGTTTCAATTCTAGTTCATGTGTTAAATAGCTTCTAGTAGCTTGTAAAAAAAAGATTCAGTAAAGTTTTTCCATTTGGGGACTAGATGGCGTGCCACACATTTACCTTGATGATCTGCCAAAGTTCAGGCCAGTTAGAACTTCAGTTAGAAATTTTTTGCTATTTCTATATTATGGAACACTGGGGAATAAATCAACATTCCACACATGTACCAGCCCTCAGAATCTTTACATGCTTAATACAGTGCAGTTATTAAAACAGCTTCAGAAATTTCCCCAGCCGGTCCTGTAGCTATAATAGCCGGTTTTAGTCCTTTAATTCACTAGGGGGCGCCTGTCACATATAACAAATCCTAGACAGATGACATATTTAAGTAGAGTGGTATGTTTATTTGCATTATTAACTGTCCAAATATACACTAAGATGCAAAGTCCTAGACAATCTACTCTGGAGCCTTATTACTTGGCATAAAGACTAATAGTCTAATACTCCAAATTCTTAAGTGCCTTCTAAATACCAATGGCTGACCAAAATCAAAGTCTGCCTAATCTGATGTGCAGAAAAGGATGAAGACCTGTATGTTTACTCACCTAGAATGACAGCCATCTAAGAAAGAGCTTTGTGGCATTGTAACAGAAAACAAAAACCAAAACAAAAGTGCCATCATAATTTGCAGTATTTTGAGAACAGAGGAGAAAAAATTCTTTGGTTATGATTATAATAAAATAATTATATAAAATATGAAAATATTTTCAAATGTCTTAAACACAGCCCATACATGCTATACAGCGTAAACTAAGCTATCCAGTTTTTCCCTACTGTTTTCACCTTTCAGTACTGGAAAACTTGTAAGCAATTGGTACTTTTACAAAGCAGTGAACCTGGGAGTCTGTTCATTTGGGAGTTAAAGCAAGTAATTTGAAAAAAAGAAGCATTTGTAGAACGACCCTAAATCTTCTTAAGTCTAGTAGATTATTGTTGTTGTTCTTAACTGCCCTCAAGTCTGTTCCAACTCATAGTGACACTCTATAGGGTTTCCAAGAAGTAGCTGGAGAGTTTGAACCACCAACCTTGTGGTTCAAACCTACATTGCCATCTTCTGCTTATCCCACAGAGCCACACCTGGATAGCAATTACTATTGTAACTGAATTTTTTCATTCTCTATAAACTGTAATTGTTTACCAAATTATACTTCTAGAAGATTTAGGGATTTTCAACAAACCGCACCACAGTCTGCCAGCTTGTTATAGTGGTAGCTTGCATTTTGCTGTGGTGCTGGCAGTTGTGCCATCATTATTTAAAATAACAATAGACCATTATTTAAAATAACAATCTGTCACCCATGGCAGACAGATTTCAGTTTCCAACTAAGATAGACTAGGAGGGAGAAGCAGCTTATTTCTGAATGTTTATCCACTGAAAACCTTATGAATGACAGTGAAACATTGCCATATATATTGCCAGAAAATGAAAATCTTATGAATAACACCAGAATGTTGATATAGTGTCAGAAGATGACACCCTCGAGTTAGAAGGCACTCAAAATGTGACTGGGAAGGGCTGCCACCTCAAAGTAGAGATAACTGTGATGATGAAAATAGAGTAAAACTTTCAGGACCTTCATCTGATGATGAGACACAACTCAAAATGAGAAATAAACATTCATAAATAATCTGAACAGGGAATGTACAAAGTATGAATCTAGGAAAATTCAAAGTTGTCAAAAATTAACTGGAATGCATAAAGATCAATATCTTAGGCATTAAAATGGACTGGTGTTCACCATTGTGAATATGACAAACATGGTTTACTATTCAGGAAACAAAAATCAAGAAGAATAACAGAGCAGAGCTTTCATCATCAAAAAAAAAAAAACATTTCAAGATTTATCTTAAAGTACAATTCTCTACATCTTATCTCGATTGGATAATATCCATATGCCCACAAGGAAGACCTCTATTACTCAAATTTACTCACCAACCACTAAAGCCAGTGATGATGACAATGAAAAATCATATGAATTTCTACAGACTGAAATTGAGCAAACATGCAATCAAGGTGTATTGATAACTGCTGGTGATTGGAATGCAAAAGTTGGAAACAAAGAGGAAGGACCAGTCATTGGAAATATCACCTTGATGATAGAAATGACACTGGAGATTGCATGATAGAACTTAGCAAGACAATGACATATTCATTGCAAATACCTTTTTTAAACAACATAAAATGTGACTATACACATGGACTTCACAAGATGGACTACACCAAAATCAAATTGACTACATCTGTGGGAAAAGATAGTGGAAAAACCCAGTATCATCAGCCAAAACAAGGCCAAGGGCATACTTTGGAACATATCATCAATTGCTTATATTCAAGTTCAGACTGATGCTAAAGAAAAAAAATTTAAGTCCACAAGAGTAAATATATGACCTTGAACATATTCTACCTGAATTTAGAGACTATCTCAATAACAGACTTGATGCATTGTACACTAAATGCCAAACACCAGAAGAGTTGTGGGATGAAATCAATAACATCACACAGGAAGAAAGCAAAATATCATTAAGAAGACAAGAAAGAAGGAAAAAACCAAAGTGTATGTCAGAAGAGACTCTGAAACTTGCTTTCCATCATACAGATGCTACAGCAAAAGGAAGAAATGAGGAGATTAAGAGATGGACAGAAAATTTCAAAGGGCAGCTTAGGAAGACAAAGTCAAGTATTATAATAAAATGTGCAAAGACCTGGAGTTAGAAAACCAAAAGGGAAGAACATGCTCACCATTTCTCAACTGAAATGACTGAAAAAAAATTTCAATCCTCAACTCGCAATATTGAGTGATGCAGAAAGCATCAAGGAAAAAAAAGATCGAAGAAATACACAGAGTCACTGTGTCAGAAAGAAATGGTCCATATTTAACCATTTCAAGAGGTAAAATATGATCAAGTGTAAATGGTACTGAAGGGTGAAGTCCAAGGTGCACTGAGAGCAAAGAACAAGGCTCTGGGAATTGATGGAATACAAATTGAAGTCTTTCAACAAACTGATGCAGTATCAGAGGCATTCACTCATCTATACATAGAAATTGGAAGACAGATACCTAGCCAACTGTTTGGAAAAGATC